TACTTAGAGAAGTTTTCATATACTATGCACTTAGGAAGTGTACACTTAAGAATGCAACTATATAAAAATTGGTTGCTGTTTTTAATATTGACCAATCATATTCGTGATAATCTTTTCTATGATCACATGATAGGGGCATGCCTTTTGGCCTAAAGGCATGCCCTAGGGCATGCCCCTAGGCATGCCTCTAGGGCATGCCTAGGGACCCCATGCCACCTACCCTAGTGTTCAGTTCTTGATCTCTAAGATCATAAATTACTAGAATGGCATCCATATAAGACTTAAATGCTAGCAACCATTCTCCGATATCATTGAATTTCTGGGAGCGGTTGTGTTTTCGAAGAGTAATAGTGCCTCCTTCAGTAGTTAAAAGTGTCTAATCATCATCGTTATCCTTTAAATATGCTCTGAGGTTTTTGTACACGAATTGTTGTAAATCGATGTAAAACCCAGAGGCAATTGCTTTCCAGAGGCGCATGGGCAGACTTGGCTTGTTGGGAATTGTCTCAATTATTCTTTGCCCTTCAGCCCAATTGAGAACCCACCATAGTCGAATCTGTTCGATCTTGGCTACAATTGGGTTGGAAAAGCTGTGAATGGGTGGGAGGTTTGTATCACTATAGTTGATAGAGGGGAATGGCCGTGACGTTGTCTTTATTCTTATAGTGCTATTGGGTTGAGAAGGAGGACTAGGACTGTTGTCATGCTTGCTTTGTAGGCTGGTAGCGTTGGTGCTTAATAATAGGTTGTTTAAAAGAGGCGTTAGTAGGCAATTACCTTGTTGAGTAGCAACGTCTTCTTTTTGTTTTCCTTTCTGTTTCCTACTAACTGAAGCAAACTCGTGGTTGTGTTCTGAACTGTTTTGATCGATGTGTTCTAAAGATTCATGTATATAGGTCTGGTTGGGGGACTGAGGTTGGGTGTTTATGCTCTGGGTTTGCATTGATTCATTCATTTAGCTTGCATGTTAATCATCTCCATTTGTGTGGCCATTGTTTGGTCTATATATGACTTGATTGTGCAGATGATTGTATCGGCTGATGCTTTTGTGTTTGCGTCAATATTGGGATGATTGTGCGTAATAGTGGCCCTTTTTAAAATACAACTTCCCCGTTACGGCAGTTACTCAGATAGGCAAGTCACGGGGCATAAGTTTCTATTTGTAGTAAGCCTGAAATAAAAATAGTTTCGAAAAAAGACTATGTATTGTTCTTTTCGAACCTATTTTTATTATAGGCTTACTACAGATAGAAACTTACATCCCGTGACTTACCTATCTAAGTAACTGCCGTAACAGGGAAGTTGTACTTTAAAAAGGCCCAGTGCTTGAGAACGTATTTAGTCCTGGTGGAGACTGTTCTTGCTAACTGTTGCTGTGGGGTTGGTTGTATGTATCCATCTTCTAGTACCCAAAACCTCTGTCAGTTTTCCAGAATAAAGTTGGTTAGAATAGCGCTGATCATTTTTATAGGGAAAAATGTGCGGCTTGTTATGTTGGGGTGTCTAATGCATATCTAATTAATTTTTTTATAATTAGCGGTGGCATCGTGGTAGCGTAAATAGTAAAAACATATAAAATTTAGATTGCAATAACTCTTGAACAAGCGAACACACACAAATGAAATTATATTTGTCGGGTTCATTTTAGTGTGCTCTTTAAAGTAACAACGCTTTTTTTTTTTTTTTGTTTGTTGTTTGAAGCAATATCGGAGACTTAATTTTCATACAAAATAGCCGTTTTTGATGTTTTTTAATATAAAAATCAAAAAAAGTAACTTTAAAATTTTTTTGTTTACTCGTATTGTATTGTGCAATAGTGATCGACAAAATTACGTTTTTGATATTTTTATTAAAAAATCATCAAAAACGATCATTTTGCATGAAAATTTGGGCCTCCGCTACGTTTCAATCAATAAAAATAAATTAAAAAAGGCGTTGTAACTTTAAAAAGCACACTAAAATGAACCAGACAGGTATAGTTTTATTTGTGTAAGTTCGCTTGTTCAAGAGTTATTGCAATCTAAATTTTATATGTTTTTACTATTTACGCTACCACTACGCCACTGCTAATTATAAAAAAATTTGATTAATGATTTTTACTATACACCTGCACTATGTTTGTAATTAAATATGCATTAGACACCCTATTGTTATGTGTAGGCTGGTCAGTGGCTTGGCTATCATGTGTGCCCTGTTAAATGGATGACATGGGGTAACCAATCGTTTAGTCTAATTTTTCGAATTGTTGACTATAGTCAACTTCTATCAAGAATACAATTTATACAGTATATAGATCATTATATGAAATCTTCCCTGCTTTAAGAGACCTCTATTTTGGGTGGTAAGTACATAGATGTATCTAGATCATATAGCATATTAAACCAATCATTATTACAAAAGCAACACTTGCTGTTATAAAAACAGAATTCTCTGCTTTGTTTCAGGCAATCATATTGTAATGTAGTATTGTTAGACCTTTGGTTAACAAACTACAATACTTGATTAGGTATTCAAGTGGTTAAGAAATGTGTTTTATATAATCTTATAAGAGAAAATAATTGATAAAAAGATAAAATATTGTCAACTTATTGCCAATACGATTTCAACAAAAAATGGTTATAACTAACAATTTATAAGCTCAAGATAGATTTTATTAATTCAAAGAATATTCAAATAAATAACTCAAATAAA